CTCCAAAAAACTTGACAAATTATCAAAAACACCCCCCCTCCCCCCGACACAATCTTAAAGAAGGGGGCGACCCCCCCCCCCCCCCCCCCCCCGGCTGTCTGTGTGTGTGTGTGTGTCTTTCCTGCCACATATAAAGTAAGACCTGCCTTACAGGGAGAGGTGGAGTGACTTACCCCTCCTAAGAACCCACCTGACTTGTGTCGCTAAACCTACCACTTTCACCATACTCTTCAATCATTTTGTATTATCAGGAGATCAATGCTCCCGGGCGTTGCCACCGAAGTGGAAGTGGGGATGGCCGGAAATGACACCGGTGGAAAGACAAAGATTGGGATCATGAAGAAACAAATTGATGTTTTCATGGAACGAATGAAAAGATTTCCAAGTCGGACATGGAGAACAATTTGGAAGGTGGGTCGAGAGGATCCCCGGAGGGTGATTCATTCACTCAAAGTTGGTCTCTCCTTGACATTAGTTTCCTTGTTGTATCTAATGGAGCCATTGTTCAAGGGTGTCGGACAGACCGCCATTTGGGCTGTCATGACTGTGGTGGTTGTGCTAGAGTTCACTGCTGGTAGGTTAACTTGATTATCTGCTTCATTTACACACACACATGATGGTAGAAGAGTACTCCAGTAAAATTATGAAAAACTATATGAATCTTACAATTTCTTTTTCCAATGACAGGGGCAACGTTATGCAAAGGACTAAATAGAGGATTTGGGACGCTATTAGCAGGATCATTGGCGTTTTTCATCGAGTATATTGCTAGAGAGTCCGGTCGGGTATTTCGAGCCATCTTCATTGGAGCTGCAGTTTTTGTGATTGGTAAGTTGAATTTTTGTTCTTGGAATAGTGAAAAATACTTAGAAAAAATGTTTACATTCTAAAACTCAACCCCAATCTGGACGTTTTCTACGACTTTGTCATAAGCATTGAATATCCATATTTTAACCTTTCTCTTCTACGTTCTATTCTATCTCACAAGATCCTGCAATAGTAACAGTGTCGAGCACCAGAGTGAAATATGAACAGTGCAGAATTTCTATGCTTGATAAATTTGTGCACTATTTTTGAAAGTTGATGTACATGCTAGCGCGCACACACATTTGATTCTTGTAATTTTCTTAATGAACCAAATGCTTTATATTTACAGTTCATGATGCAAAATGCCCTCTGGTTACTTTTCTATCATAACGTTCTGGTATAACGTTGTCCTAATTAAATTTCCTTTTTATCTTTCTTGCACCTTCTCTTGAGAAAAAGACAATCTAATTTTGATTGATATCTCTCTTATTTCATTACTAATTCTGCAGGCGCGGCATCTACATACATGAGATTTTTCCCTTATATAAAGAAGAATTACGATTATGGCGTCGTGATATTTCTGTTGACCTTTAATTTAATTACCGTATCAAGCTACCGTGTTGATAACGTATTAAAGTTGGCCCATGAGCGCTTTTACACCATCTCCATTGGTTGCGGGATCTGCCTTCTCATGAGCCTCTTGATATTTCCGAATTGGTCAGGAGAAGACCTCCATAATTCCACTGTGTCCAAGCTTGAAGGGTTAGCTAAATCAATTGAAGGTACGCAAAATTAATGCAAAATATATATACAAATAATCAAAATTAATGTTGCAAAATGAGTATAATCTAAATTTTTTTTTTTGTGACATAAAACCATAGATATACAAATAATCAAAATTAACGTTGAAAAACGAGTATAATCTAAATTTTATTTTGTGACATAAAACCAAGTTTGTCCTCAGGAAATGACCCGCAAAATCTATCAAATCCATCACTTGATTGTGCTTGTCATTTTTTTAATAATGATCTTATGCGAATCATTGGAATATCTAAGGCTCTTCTCGGCTATCAGGATTGTTAAAACTACTGCTCTAATAGGTCCTTAGAACTCAAATCTTCTATGTATTTTCTTAGTTTGTTAGTATAGTTAATCTGTTATTTGTTTGTGTTTTTTTAATTATTGTTATAGTATGCGTGATTTGTTATGGACCGTTTGAAAGTGGAAGATAAAATTGAAGATCATCTAAAATTCATGTGTACTTAACCTATTTTTCATCATGGCAGATGATTCTATGTCTCAACATATTAAGATTTTTAACATGGGAAACTTTGCAGCTTGTGTCGGTGAATACTTCAAGGATGAAGAGGCAGAACCAAACAAAGATAAATCATCGGAAGATCCAATTTACAAGGGCTACAAGGCAGTCTTGGACTCAAAATCAATCGATGAGACACTGGTAAACTTCTTTCTATTCACTACTTTGATCATTTATATGGAAGTGACTATAACATTATTACCAAAATCCGTAATATTATGCTAATTTGTGGGGAATATGTTTTTGAGACAAGCAGGCATTACATGCAAGTTGGGAGCCACGGCACTCGAGACATTGTTACAGGTTCCCATGGCAGCAGTATGTAAAACTGGGAGGTGTTCTTCGCCATTTCGGATACACTGTGGTAGCTTTACATGGATGCTTGCAAACTGAAATTCAGGTAATTTTCCATAATTGTTGAATTTTCTAATCCCTAAAGTTCAATTTTTTTTTTGAGGCTTTAGCATCTTAACTTCATGATTTATTTACCCAACTAGGGCCACTTTTAGTATATTTTGCAAAATTTTTACATGAAATTAAGGGAAAAAATACCCAGTTTAATAAATCTTCCCTAGCAATGAAATTCATTCAAGATTTTTTTAATTCCATTATGTACGTGAAATTTTTTAGGGATTCTTTTTTTTTTTTTTCTAATTTCCATCTCTATTTTGCTCTCTATGTCTAGTTTTTAGCATTGAATGATTTCTCAAAATCCGAAAAATTATGTTACACAAATTGCCATAATAGCTAAAGAGTTCAAGAAATAAAAAAACTTAATCCTACAAAAAATATTTCCTACATCTGGCCTTTGTTCAGGAACTAGCTTAGCCTAATCACATTGAATATAATAAGTCACTGTTAATGAACATTGATTGAAAAGAAGATTCTTTGTGTCTTCTTGTTTCAAAAGGGCTTAGTTCACTTCTAACTCCTTGTGGGAGGTCACTAATAAAGCTTTCTCAATTTAGTTCGATTGCATGTGATCAGAATTAGTATTTTCCAGAAGATGCATCAAGGTGATAAATCCAACCTATTTATTGTCATTATACCATCATAGAAGGAGATATTTTGTCTATTAATCAAGGACTAAAACTTCATTTTGATTCATAGTTGCAGTCAGTTCACAAATGAAACGTTTCTAAAATGTTTGCAAATTATTTTAAAATAGAATTTTTTTTTGATAACTATTTTAAAACAGAATTGATACAAAGATACAATTGAAATTTTGATTCAGAACATTTCGAAACATTCTAAATGCACCGAAACACGTGTATTTCAAATTTTTATCGTAGTTTCATTTCGTTTTCACCAAATTGTATTGGTTGATTCGGAACAATTAAAATGGAGTGAAAATTTGATCATTGATTGACTAAACCATTTGTATGCCACGCATATTGGTATTTACTTATGCAATCTCTAAACATTTTCTAGAATTTTGATCACCCCCAAATTATGTTTTTCACATTTTGTTCTTAGACTCCACGATCTGTTCGAGCCTTGTTCAAAGATCCAAGCATTCGACTTGCTAGAGAAGTATCTAAAGTCCTAATGGAACTAGCCGATAGCATAAGAAAACGTCGCCAATGCTCTCCAGAAATACTTTCAGATCACCTCCATGAAGCCCTACAAGACCTCAACACTGCTTTAAAGTCCCAACCAAGGCTCTTCCTAGGTCCCAACACCAATCCCACCACCAACATCCTCGCCCTAGCGGCCTCAGCCGCCAGCCAGAAGCCGGGAAAGGACTATGGGACCTCGTTGTCAAGTGTCAAAACCGATTCATCCGCATTGTTTGAGTGGAAATCAAGAAGGGCATCTGAGCAGCAGAGGAGGGAGGCCGAACGAAAGGTGTTGAGGCCGACGTTGAGCAAAATCGCCATCACGAGCCTTGAGTTCTCGGAGGCTCTTCCATTTGCTGCATTTGCTTCTCTGCTGGTGGAGACAGTGGCAAGGCTTGATCTTGTTATTGAGGAGGTTGAAGAGTTGGGAAGGATTGCTAGCTTCAAAGAGTTCAATGTTGGAGATGATGAAATTGCTGTCACTTGGGAGAGGCCTAAATTGGAAAATGCGGTGCCTTTAGGGAATCATTTCCCATCCCATGGTGCTGATTAGAATTAGAGGGTTATCTAGAATCATAATTGTAGATGGATATGTATGGATGGTTTATCATAAATGTTACTAGGCCATATATCTATGATTGATTTTAGCATTTATCCTTGTTTCTTCTCCCCCCGTTTTCCCAAAAAAAAAAAATATAGTGAATATTTAATTTGCACTGATATATATATATTGAGTAGGGGCTTTGAGTATTCATGAAAAATAAATTTCTTATGACCTAACCTTAAGGGATTGTTAATATTCGAACTCAAGACATTTAAATTTACAGTTTATCCCTATATATTGATCAAGTTAGCCTAACTTGAGTGTTCTGGTTAAAATGAATTTATTGCACCAAAAATCACAATGCAATTGCTCTTACTAGAAACACATCCATGAGCATTCCATTAATAAGTCACAACATCCAATAACTTGACACAAACCTATTAAATTAAATATTTGTAACATAATTTACGAAAAAGTGGGTTTACAATGAATTTGTTCATAGGAATAGATACGAAGTTAACCGGTTTAGATTTTGTATTGGGAAGATTCACGATAAATTTTTTGGAAAAATGAATTCACATAAACATGATTTATACACGACACAAATCCCACTATTAAAAAAAAAATCTAGAAGAAGAAAATTGTTCGATTTTCACATTCTCAGCATGATTTTGTGACTAATGTACTTGTTAAAGGCGCTTATGTATGGAAGTGGCACATTTTTACAATGTTGGCATTTGATTCTGTGAAGGAAATAAGGGATTTAAAACAAAAAAAAAAGGAATTCACAAAAGGGCCCTACCGGGTTCGAACCGGTGACCTCTTGATCTGCAGTCAAATGCTCTACCACTGAGCTAAGGACCCTGTGCTGCTTAGTTGTTGGTATTTATAATATATATTGATTTCCCATAATTATCCACAATTGCAATCGATCCCCTATATTTTGACAAAATAATGCGAAGTTCTCTTCATACTTGGATAATAACTTCGAAACCCTTTTAAATAAAAGTTATTAATAAAATGCCCATTTTATCATTTTTTTGATAAACTTAAAATAATTAAACAGTTAGCAAAAAAGGGTTAAATAGGTGATTTAAAATTTAAAACATCTATATATTATGTAATAAAAATTTATGAGAAAAACAGTATCATTCACCTCAAGTAATGTTATTTAGATATAAAAATTTGATCTAATTTACGTACTTAATGATGTGGTTTTATTATAACCGTTGAATTAATATCAAATTTCAATGTTTGATAGCCTTCCAAGACTTGAAATCTAAATTTTCCTATTTTCGAAACAAAAACGATAATACATGATGATAGTAGTTTCATGTTCAACGAGTATCATTTGATTTCAGGGGGGTCATTTAGAATTGATGAAAATTAAGAACTAGTATGATGTAATAAATTTCAAATGCGAATAAACGGGAGGCACAAAGAATCACCCATAGGAAAGTGATATGACACTAAATGGACCTATGGCTGTGAAAGATTAAGGATAAGGACCTTTTATTTCTTTTTCCCTTTTGATTTCTTTGCAAAATTTGTGGGTGGTAGTGAATGAGAGTGATCAAAGTGGATTGTCCATCTGCGGATGGCTTGCTATGTCCCTAACTCTGCATTCCAGAGGTGTAAAAGAAGCCCACAGAGCTTGTTTGATTGGAACTTCGGGCAGAGAAAGACTAATGATAAGCCACAGCCAAAGTACCATGACACTGATCTTCCCTTCTCACTTTCTCTCGTTGGCAAAACATTCTTGAAAGGTGTGCATCTCTCTCTCTCTCTCTCTCTCACACACACACACACACACACACACAGAGGCAACAAAACATAATGAATTATTGAGTATTTCGCATAGCCATTTAATGTGTAGAATAAGAATAAGAGTGTGGAAAAACCAATTAAATAGAAATTAATCAAGAGAGAGAGAGAGAGACTAAAGATTTCTATGTTCTTCTCTTAAATGCTGACTCCAATTGAGATCCTTAATCTTGGTAACTTACATTTGTATGGTATATTGACAATGCCCAATATGCTCGCACCGTGTTACAAAAGACTACAACCCCTCGCACCCCAATTTATAATTTTGCTGGACTATTAAACATTTAGGCCTAGGGCAATTTATAATTTTGTCGGATTACTAAACATTTAGGCTTAGCGAATTTCATTATCCCATAATCCAAGGATAGTTAAAGTGGTAACAAAGACGAGGTTTATACAAAAATTTTGACAATTGCTTGAAGTTAGATTATAACAGATTTATCTCTCATAAATACGTTATTTCCGACATGAAAGATTAGTCGAGATAGGTGTAAGTGAACCAAAACACTCGTGACCGTTAAACTCAAAAAATAAAAAAATAAAAAAAAATATATATATATATATATATATCATCATCATCATCATCATCACACTATTTCAAAGAGTAAGCTATACGGAATGCTAATCTTAATAATCATTGGGCAGGTAAAGAACTAAAATGCTGCTATCGAGCAACCATTGATGGATTCAGTGCCACTTCATTTCATAATTTCTGTGACTTCAAGGGACCATGTGTAATAATAGGCTACACAAACAAGTCATTCAAGTTTGGAGCATTTAACCCAGAAGGCTACAGGAGCACAGATGATTACTATGACACTTTTGACGCATTTCTCTTTTATTGGACAGACCATGAGAAAATTGATGATGAACAACCTATTGTCTTGCCCAAAGTAGGGGGCAGTGGTGCTGCCCTTTTTGATTACGCTCGGGGCGGGCCACAGTTCGGGCCTGATGGGTTGCTCATCGGACCACCATTGGCACCGGTTATGGGCGGATTCGCAGGGCCTGATACAAACTCGGGCGTAGGTGACTTGAGGCAAGCAAGATCCAGGCTGGGATTGTCTTATGCTAAAAGGCGTGATGGGAAGGAGTCATTGTTTGGTGATGAGAATAGAGTTAGCATTGAAGAAGTTCTTGTGTTTTGTAATCCTCAAATTGCAAGCTTATACTAGGAGAGACTGTTATTATGATTCTCCAAAGTCCACACTTCAATCTATGAGATTTCTGCTCTTTTGTTTGCAATGGGTATTTGGGATTGTGATGAGTTTCAAATATTTTGTTTAAACTCAATTCATTAACGTTGTCCAACCTCAGGCTTAGCTTGGCTCTAGCTCGATCCGTTTAATAAAAATAAATCAGCTTTTATCCGAGTCGAACCCAAACTACTGATGAATAATTCAGTTCATTTGCAGTCCTGTCACTGATATTGATGTGCTGCTTTCCTGGTACCAAATATCAACTGAACCCAGTGGAGAATAAACTTTAGAGGGCAGACCAAAAAGGAAAAATAAGCCCTTTTAAAGGGATGTTGTTAACTATCAGTTTATTTGCTCGCAAGGGTAGGAAAAGTGGCCTCCTGCTTATCCAATACCCCTAAGCTATGCAGTAGGTGTTACTGATGATGGAAAAATATAAACATTTAGTGCTCACCAAGCATCACGTGACAAGGTAATGTGGTTCTCACACCCGATAAGAAAGTACTATGATGATTGTCAGCCAAACATATTGATGAAAAGTGTATGGATTAAAGAGCAGAAGAATGCATTATTATGGAGAATAACAGTTGGAGATGGATCAGGGGCGGATTCACAGTGGGGGCAGTTGCTCCCACGGGAATTTTAAAATTTTTTGGATACTAAGTGTAATTTTAAAAAATTTAAAATTTATTAGATATTTCCCCCCACTGAATTTTTTTTTAAAAGATTTAAGGGTAGTTATGTTATTTTGACAAATATATGAGTCTCACTTGTAAATATCAGTAGAAGATGATATCAAAAATTTGGACATTTAAAGATTAACTAATATGTTACGAAATAGGTTAGCCCTCTCATTTGTTTTATTATTATACATCAAACTAAATTTAGGGCTTGTAATCCTCTTCGTTGTTTTATGTTTATATGTTAGAATTGAAAATTAGGGTTTGTAGTCCTCTTTTGTGGTTTATTTTTTAAATGTTGAATTGAAATTAGTGCTTGTAGCTCTCTGTTGTATTTTATTTGTTACATGTTGAATTGAAAATGTAAAATTGAGGCTTGTAATCATCTCTTATGTTTTATTTTTTATGTATTGAATTGAAACTAGAATTTGTAGTCTTGTATTTATTTTTCTATGTTGAAATAAAATGGGGGCTTGTAGTCCTTTTCTATGATTTATTTTTTTATATATTTAATTGATATTTGAGTTTGTAGTCCTCTCTAGTATTTTATTTTTATATGTTGAATTGAAATTAAGACTTATAGTCCTCTCATTTGTTTTATTTTTATTTGTAGAATTGGAATTAGGACTTGTAATCCTCCGTCATAATTAGACTAAATTATTTTGATTTGGTAGTTTGAACAGTTTTATTGTGATAAGTTAAGTACTTTATATACTCAGGTTTAGTTTACTAGAATAATTATAATTTAAGTTAGTTTCGATTGTTTGTTAAAATTTAATGATGAATATTAAGTTTGTGATTCAACAAATTAATTTTTGAATTAATTATGAAAATTTTCTTAAAATTTAATATATGATTGAGCCCAATTTTGCGGTTCAAATTTTTTTTTGTTAGGTCTTATAGATAAATCTATAATGAGTTTTTTTTTGTTGGCTCATTTTATATATCGCTCATGTATATGAATTGCGTCTTTAATTGGTGTTCTATTAATAAAACTATACTTTAAGAATATTTTAAATTTTAATATTAATATAGTTTAAGTTGCCCCCACTGGAGAATATGTCTGGTTCCGCCCAGAGTTGGATGAAAAGTGTTTATGGATTGTATGCTTTTAGAAGCACTTATCATAAAGCTCAACTAGTGCTCTATCTTTAACAATATTCTCACCGAAGGAAGAAAAGGGTTGGAGAATATTTTGAAAATTTTTGTTTGAGAGAAAGTTGATGTATCTCATTATAGAGAGATTGGCTCATTCTTTCTAAATCACATTTGCTTTCTCTATGGTAGTAGCTAGGAGTGAAGTTACAAATTGTTCCTTTCATGGGGTTTTCCAGTTTTTCTTACATGTTTTCCTATTGTCGGAAGCAGAAGGTGATTATGGTGTTTAATCATGTAAATCCAACTAAATAACAGTATCCCAAGCACGTCATTTGCCTGAAAAATATTAATTGCAACGTTATTCAAGAGTGAAAGTAATCGATTTTGGAGTCGTTTCTAACATTTGCAATTCAGTAGGCAAGAAAAGGATCTGCCTATGCAATTTCCCTTACTCAAAATGCATGAAAGTCTGTTTTAGTTGTGGGGAAAGACAAAACTGGAACAAGAACCACCACAATCAGGCTCAAAAAAAGAAAAAAAGAAAAAAAGAAAAAGAAACTGAATAAGCAGTTGATCGCGATACATTGTACAAGGATGAAATCATTATTCATGAGTTCCAAGCCACAATTTCTACAACATACATGGTAGAGATCCCCAAGCAAAACAAAGTGCAGATATATCTTCAAAAATGTCCAGCACATAAACATCAATGCAGAACCACAAAGAAAAACTGCATGTATGGGCATGGTCCTGGACAGAGATGCAATAACGACAGAGAAACCGGTGGCTTTGAAACACCAATAGTATTTTACAATAGATGGCTTCAACACAAGAAGCTTATTTTTTAAGAACATATGGATAGTTCAGGCTTCAAATAAACCAACTCCTAGTGCAATCAATAAAATTGAATGCCACTAGGGGCGTTTTACAGACTAAGACTAACAGCATACTGATAATGAGCACAGCTCAACACAAAAAACTACTAGACCAACACCGACACAACCACAACAATCAAAATAGATTTTATAGGAAATTCTTTCCACTGAAGATCCAAGGAGGGGTTGTATTCATTGTTTTCCTATCCAAGAGCGACATTAAAAGGCGTTGTCTTGGAGACCCATTCTGGATTATGAAAATTGAACCCAACAGCATGTCCAGATCTTGACAGACTCGAATATCAGAAGCTAACAAAGTTATCTTCATGTGACCACAAACCGTTATATTCTTCCAAACTCCCATCTCCGCTACTTTGTCTGCAGATTGAAGCTTGATCCCTTCCTTGAAACCCTGTATTAAAGAAACCAAAAAAGTTATATGATTTGTTGCATTGGTTCTTCAGAAGGGTTTAGTTTCTGTTATTTAATTGTCTGGCCATAACCTTCACAAGACAGATTCAGATCTCCATAGTAACCCATGTAGTTTCCTTGTTCTGAGTAAGGTGACATACAGCCTAATCGGCTGAGATCATCAGAAAGCTCAACATCCTCTCTAAAATTCGGGAATGATGAACTAGGTGAGATTTCATACCGATCATATGGCTGCCATGAAGTCATTGAGTTTGCAAACTCGTACTGTGGAAAGTCATCTCCCCCTGAGTATTCCTGCACCAGACCATGAACAAATCTGTTTGTAACTTAATTTTCAAGAACCAATCTTAAGATATGCAGCAATAAGAGATTCAATATAATTTTAGTACCTTAGAAGAATCAAGAAATAAGTCAGGTGAGACCAGAAGGCTTGCAGGATTGGTACCCATAGAAGCTGTTTCATACTCCCCCACTGGTGTTGCCTGATATGAAGAAGTAACAGGACTTGAATAATTACTCTCAGTGCATGAGTAACTCGGTTGAACTGATATGTCATTGGAGATGATCACGGGCTCATTTGAAATTGTTGTTGAGGTAAAGTCCACATTCCTCGTCCCATTGCCAACCTGCTTATCTTTTGGTTCTCTATGGACATCATTTGTCTTCTGTGAGAGCTCATTCTTTTTGATGATACGACACAATGCAAAAGGTCCCTGTAGAAATTCAAGTAACTCGTATCAATCTTACAGTTTTGACTTATCAAAGGATCTGAAGCAAAGGCATTAGATGGGATTGCTGAATTTTACCTGAAAACTTGGAGTTCCTTGACAGACATCATCGCATAGACGATATTCATGCATCACCCAATCTGTTCTATCCCCTAGTGGTGCTTTTCCACGATAGAACACCAGTGTCTTACGAAACCCCATCACCGTTGATTGACAGACTACTTTCCGGTCTTTTCCAGTGGCTTTCCAATATCCGGCTTTAGTGGCTCGATTAGTGCGTGAGCCATTAGGGTACTTCCTGTCTCTTGAACAGAAAAAGAACCATTCCATATCACGCTGTGGTAGGAATGATTTTTCTGCAATTCGTGGGTTAAAAATTAGAACTCCTAAATTCCAACTAAACACAATCCGAAAGGAGAAGAATGAGAAATATCTTTAGTTTTCAATTTCATTGTGCTGTTCTTCTCATGAACTTGTGTTTTAGGCATGAGTTTTTTCAAAGAAATCAGCTTTGAACAAGAAAAAGACAAGATGCCCTCACGACCCCACAATTACACAATCCTACAACTGGTTCAATTCAGAAAGACAAGCAAAAACAAAAGGAGAAAGCGACAAACAACCAAGAAAGCACCAACGTTACAACATTAAATCATTTCTCCATGCAAATTGGTATTAAGCCCAAGCGTTTACATTCCATACTGATTTGGCCAATACACAAACATGCCCAACATAAACTTCCTGCAAATCCATGGCAAATCCAGTGTTTGAAATTAATTTTCCTAACATGTACTCTCCCATGGCATAATATAAATTCACATGAACAGGAAAATTAAATGGATTTGCTAGATCTCATACATAACTAAAACAAACACACAAAATATAAAAAACTTGTACAATCTGTCTGGATTTCTATCAAATACCTGGCAGTTCCCAAGGATCAAACTTGTACAAATCGATAATAGGAATCACTTCAAGTTCAATCTCAAGTCCGTCAGTTTTTCTCTTCAGATAATAACCAACCAACTCCTCATCGGTTGGGTGGAAACGAAATCCGGGCGGCAATGATGCCCCAGCCATTGTCTACCCTCCTAAATACACAAAAAATCTCGAAAAACTAGCACCTATAGAGCAAAGAGAAGAGCCTGGAAAGTTCAGAACAGTTCACAACACTTACTGTCTAAGTGCCCAAACTGTATGTAATGAATATTTGGAAGATCCAAAAGTAGAAGCTTTTTTCAAAACACAACTTTTTTTCAAGAATTGCAAAGAACTTCCATAAAATGCACCCTTTGAGCACCAAAACCATTTTCCTGGAAAAAAATCAATGATTTTCTTTTTGATGAAAACCCTCCCCACCAAACCCTTTTGAAATTGCCTGGAATGAGCAAAATGTCTGATAAACCAATGTAACAGAGCCCAAAAAAAAAAGGGCAATAACTTTTGGAAAAGTTGTTAGAACTTCCAAAACTCGAAAATTTTGTAATACCCAGAAGCCAAAACAGTGAAAATAGTAATTAGATCCTTCTATATCTAAGAAAATGTATCCAAAAATTGATTCCCAGAAAGGAAAATCGACAGAAGTGTTAGTATAGAGCTTACGTGGAGAAGAAGAGAAGCTGTGTATAGTAAAAACAGAGGAGTGTGGGAAGGTTTATATATAGACGTGGATAGCCAATAGTCCAAAAATATAAACACCGAAAGGTTAGCCCTCTTGTCTGAAGCTAACCCCAAATTCCACTGATATGGCCCACTAAACCCAAATCAGTTCACACATAAAAACAGTTGCCTCCCGCCAACTTAATGTTTTGACAGTTATTTACCAAAAAAAGTAACAGTTAATATTAGATTGTATTTTCTAAATTATTTAAGTCATGTTGTATCAAATTTTGATCAACTTTTATTCAACAAAGAAATAATTGTGTTTAAACCCTCCAAAGTAGCTCAAACGGTAATAGAGTCGAATTATAAAGTCAGATGTCTTGAATTTAAATCTTGACACAAACTCTTGGGAGATATGCGAGCAGGGATTTATCCGAATTCCTTAGTTTCGGCGTAAATGACCTATTTTTGACCGAATTAAAGAGAAAATTAATCAAAGTGTGCATAAACTAACTCAAACACTTCTAACTATTGAAAAAAAAAAAATCATGTTTGATAAATTTGTGCCTAAAAAAAATTTGGTGAACCCACTAAGACTAAACCTGAAATCCTCTAATCCCATGCTCATTTTTTAGGGTGTGTATATAATTGCCGGACCTAAATAAACTGATGCAAAGATTGTGGAATTAACTTTGATCTCTTATCAAAATTTATAATTAAATAAGAGTTAGTTATAATTTATTTAAAATCAAGTTATGATTTAAAATGCTAGTTATTATACAATAAATCAAGTTATGGTTTAAAAAAAATAAAATTGATCCTAAATAAATTTATTTTATCTTAATCTTTCAGGAAAATAACATTAAGACATTTAGTTTTACTAAAAAATAGAAAGCATAGATTGGGGTATTTTAGGAAGTTTGTTAGTGGTCATAAGTAGTGCCAGGTCATAAGCTACTTACACATCATCATGAGTCAGACAAAAACACTTTTGATTAGGAAAATGACACTGATGGTGTCATGGCCTGGCCCAATTGTTCAAAAAGAGCAAAAAAGTCCTGAAAGTGCTTGGTGAGCTTATTGGCACTTTTTGTGATGATAAAAAAAGCAGCTTATTGGCATTTTTTGGGAATGAACAAAGACACCTTGGTGCCAAGTGTAGTCTCTTTGCATGTAGTTGATAAACTTAGGGAAAACAAACATACCATGAGTACATGAAGTTGTCCTCATTGTAGCATTTGGGAAGAATTAATCTTGCAAAGAGATTGTTTATGTGATTCAAACTTGTGACCTCCAAATTATAATGAAATGATTTTATCGTTGCATCAAAACCTGCTCTCATGTAATTGATAAAGTGTGTATGATAATTCTAGTTCAATTAATCTCATTGGTGATCAAGAATTTTTCGTCCCGGTTATAAGCGTGTAGGATTTATGAAAACAATATTTTTGAAAATATATGAGATTATGCATTTCTAATGATTATTGAATTGTCTTCTACAAGTGCATAGGATAGACTTAATAATGTTTAGCGGAGCTAAAAGTGGCCAACTTAGGAAATATTTTTACATGTGGTAGAAAAGGTAAATGAAGAGAGGAAAAAGAAGCATACCCTAAGGCTTTAAGGTTCAAAGCAAAGAGGGGAGTTTGATGACACTTGCAAGCCAACAAGAGGAGTTCCAAATCTATATTGGATTCTGATAAGTGAATCTTTACCTTTAAAATTTGTACCAGTCTGAACTGTTTGAACTTTTGGCTAAGTTTGTTGACCGAATAGACCCAACTTTTCCAAAAATTTTAGGGTTTGCCCATACATCTCAATCCTCCAAATTTAACAAATTCTAAGAAAAATCCATTATTTTATTCCTTTTCATACATCTTTAGATGGAATATTATAAGAAAAAAATGAAAACTAAAACTCATTTTAATTGTCTCAATTTCAATTCAAACACAAATATTGAGTCAAGTTTTACTATAAGAATTAGGGTCTTTTGACACAAATTTTTACGGTAGTAATATTCAGTGTTACAAAAAAAAAAACGTGTTTTGAAGATTATTTTTTTTTTGTAGCAGTGATGTTGTTATAAAAAATTTATTTGTTATTGCAAATACTATTTGAGACAGGTTGTTGCTACCGCAAAGACTTTTTGAGACTCCACTTATTACAACAAGGCATGCCGTAATAAATGGAGTCTCAAAATGTTTGTGTGACGACAATGACCATCTCAAATAATATTTGCAGTAGCAAATAAATCTTTTGTGACAGCACTATCCACACACAAAAAAGAAACTCAAAAATACATTTTTTTGTGATGATAAATATTGCTGCTATAAAAAAACTTGTCTCAAAAGACTTTAATTCTTGTTCAAGAGAATCTCATTGCAGTAGATGTTTGAAAAGATTTTCATATGACCAGGCATGGGATTAGTGTATATTTTGAAAATGTCGTTTGTTTACCAACCCCTTACCAAGGTTGGCTTACTGAAAAAACATAAATTTAAATTGCTTCTGATTCAGAATTTAGTGTTCCAGCTCATTGATAGTGGTTGCCATTAGAAATCATTGGAGTGTAAAAATTAGCCTGCCCTTGAAGGCACAAATAGATAAACCAAGTTTATCAAGTTAGGAATATTTTCTCATTCATGTATGATGCCTTTGTTTGAATCACCGACACCTTTGGCAGGCCCCCAGGACTGGAATTATGAAAAGAAAGAATGTTAGTCTTTTGCAATTTTAGTGCAGATTCTTGCTCGGTATAAATCGATTCACTTTGAGTTGGTTTCGCCCACGCCTTCACAAGGTTGTTGCCCCTTCTTTTACCCATAGAGAAACCAGGGTTATGCTTTTATATGACAGATTAATTAATAGTAGAATCAATCATGTTTAATTTTATTCAGGATCGACATGCCCCAGGTTTGAAGAATTCGATGACAGGCCTTCGCTGCAAAAGATCCTAGAATTAGTCGATTCAGAATCAGTTGGATTGGAGGGATCCGGAGCCACAAGGCTAGAATAGCTTTTTTTTCACTAACAATTGAATAAATTTTAAGGTGTGACAATTCGAACTGAAACACTTTATGTGCCTAAGGACAACTTGTGCAATGTTTATCAATCCATGATTTACGACTACTTACAATGGCTAACAAAACACCCCATATCAATCGGTGGCCAGCTAGAACTAAAAAATGGCATAAGATTCTTGTCATTGCATAGTTTATAGATGGTTAGATGTACTAATCTTATCCAAGATGACACCTAGGTCACCGTTGAGCAATCGAGAACTAAATTACATATTTCCTAAATTAAGATATAAGAAATATTGGAGAAACTAGTGAAAAAAACTAGTATGCAATAAGATAACATTGTGAATCCTTACTTTTAGCTTACCAAAAATGTTAAACAGGGAGTGAAGAAAAAGTAGTGTTGCATGACCTTAGAAGGGAGTGATGTATAGTTGGGATAAGCTTTACTTTCTATGTAATTCAAATGAATTTTTTTGCCAATATTTCAACATAAAATCTAGAGGTGCATAACTGGTAAAAGATATAGACGATCACTTGTAATAGTTGAACAAATCGAGGAAAGTGAGTATGCATATTCTTCTACACATGTTCGTATAATTCTCTACAAACAGAACATATAAGCTCGCTCTTGCCTTCTAATTTTTGAACATTTTCCGTCCAAAACATGTGAAACTATGGGTTTGTCGATTGTCATGTGAACATGGGAAGGTAAATCGACAATCAATGAAAGGGAAAAGGGCAAGGTGTACTAAAAGGTTGAGGTGGCTTTATGGTGCAATGTTGCTCATTTTTCGGGGGGTTTGGTGTGAAATAGAAGTAGAAAAGATGGTGATGAGTGATGATGAGCAAAAAAAAAAAAAAAGAGTAATGCTACATATACTTAAAAATTAGACTTGATAATTACAATTATTGATTTCTCTGTGGGTCCTGTCATTTATTAGAATTCACTACCTATTCAACGGTTATAATTATCAAATCTAATTTTTAAGTTTATGTAGTATTGCTCAAAAAGAAAAGATGGTGAGTGCATGATAATGGAAGAAGATTAAGGAGGACTTTCATTGGGAATTGGAAAGTTTGAAAGACCACCTTATCATTTTGGCTGTTGGTCTTCTGCTTTCGGCCCTTTTGTCCCATACCATGGTGGGATGTGTCTCACCCCCACCCCATATCAACGGCTATGAGAGAGAGAGAGAGAGAGAGAGAGGGGGGGGGGGGGGGGGGGGGGTTGCA